GGGCCGGAGCTGGTCGTATCTTGAAAAATTCGTAAGGAGGGGGGTTCGTAACTAAAGGTACCACTGTATATGGAGAATAATTTATTATTTTATGGTAAATTAAGTTTATTTTTATTTCCACCTTTTTTTTTTATATACATCCCAGCATATCAGTCAAAGACTGGGTGTGGTTTTCAGCCCTCAAAATATTGTGTACCCATTCTAAAAGATTAATATTCTTTTGTCAGACCTGTTGATGCTATGTATATTTCATTTTTTGCTGTTTCTAGTCAATTCTAGTCAAAACTAAATATGTTAAGTAGAAAGAACTTTTGATTTTGTAGATACCATTGAAGGACATTAAAAACTTGATTTTTGGCTAATTTCTTTAATACCACAGTGCTGGGAGCATTGTTTCAATTTTCTTCCCATGCAACAAAACATATGCAGCCTTTTCTGTTTTGATCAAGAAAGTAATTGTTAGAAGCCAGATGTCTTTTGAAATAATACTAAACAAATATTGCATATATCTATCTCCTGGTTTAAGCTCAGCCATGAAAAGAATAAAAGTGGCATGTAGGTATTTGGAAATGGCTTTTAAAGAGAACATACCATTTGTATGCCACTGTTGTTTTGATGGTGAAAATATTAGTCTAGAACTCAGGTTCAAGTCAGCAATCACCTATGGAGTTCACTGGATAACTTTGGGCCAATCATTCTCTCTCATCCCAACTTACTTCACAGAGTTGTTAGTGAGTAAAACAGGAAGTTCCTGTTATGCCATCTTAAGCTCTATGAGGAAAGTAGTATATAAATGCAATGAATTACTGTGGAGAAGCAAATATTTTCATCAAATTTATTGAATAATCTTCTAATCAAATGGGTGAATCATCTTAATCTCTTTTTCCTGAAAGTAAATTTATTGTAGTTTACAAGTATCCCAAATATTCCAAATTATGCGGTAGTGATCAACAGGTAAAATTGCTTATTAAGGCCTTACTGAGATGGTTATCCTCTCTGGCAGGCATCAGGTTATAGGTGAGTTGGAAGAGAGACATCTTTAGGAATGCAGTTTCCTTATGGAAGTGTTTTGTTTTTGTTTTGTATAGAGGAATATTCCATCAGCAAAGCCACTGTGGAACATGCAAAGTAATTCCACTCCCAAAATGTTTGTTTTGAGAGCTGCAAATATTATGTAAAAAATATATTTTGAGAGTTAAAAACTTAGCTTTTAAAAAAGGCATGATTTGTAGTGTCAGACTGTTCCAGTTGGACTGTCATTTTTGGATTGCTTTTTTCAAGTGTTTTCTAACCTAGCCTAGCCAGTACTGCAGTAGTGATCTACCTGCTGCTGTTGATTTAGACTAGGATGGGATCATAGAATCATAGGGTTGGAAAGTATCTTGGAGATCATCTAGTTCAGTGCAGGAATCTTCATATCATCCCTGACAAATGGCTGTCCAATCTTTTCTTGAAAACATCCAGTGATGGAGCACCCATGACTTCAGGAGGCAAGCTGTTACATTGCTTAATAGCTCTCACAATCAAGAAATTCCTCCTTAGATCCAAAGTTTAGATCTCTCTCTGTTAACTTTCCACTCGCTGGTTCTTGTCTTACCCTTGGATGCTATGAAGAATACATCCACACCTTCTGCCTTATGACATCCCTTCATCTATTGGAAGATACTATCATGTCTCTCCTTAGTCTTTTCTTATGTAGACTAAACATACCAAATTCCTTTAACCAGTCTTCATAGGATTTAGCCTCCAAATCCCTTCCCATCCTTGTTGCTCTTCTCTACCATCTTTCCAGTTCCTCACCATTCTTTTTGTATTGTGGCAGCAAGAATTGGAAACAATATTCCAGGTATGGTTTGACCAATGCAGCATAAAATGGTAGTATCACTTCCTGTTTGTTAATCCCACTAGGTAGACCAGATCAGAAAATCAACTCCACAGGAAGATTAGATACTTTATTGAGATAGGCTACAATAATAGAATCTTGCAAGTCTGATTGTTCTTTACCTCCTCTCCTTTATATCTCGATGAATCAGGGAGGCATTTGCCTGATCTGCTTCTGAATATTATCTTGATTCCCAGGACTTAAAGAACGTTTCACTCCTCTTTGCGTAGGTAACAATTCTTGCCTATCTCAGTCAAGGCCATCTCCCTTACACTCTGCACTATTGATGCAGAAGAAATTTGCATTGGGTCTTTTACTAGCTGCAGCACATTGCTAGCTCATGCTTAATCTGTGGTCTACCAAACTTGGAGATACTTCTCACAGGCACTACTGCTAAACCACCTATCTTGCACCTGTGCATCTGGTTTTTCCTGCCCAAGTGCAGAATCTTACATTTCCCTCTGTTGAACTGCATTTTGTTGGATAGGGCCCAATGTCCAAGTCTATTAAGCTCCTTTTGAATTTTCAGCCTGTCTTCTAGGGTTTTAGCAATCTCCCTCAGCTTTGTGGGAGGTTTAGCAATCTCATCTAAGTTATTTATGAAGATCTTTAAAAGCCAGGACAGAACCTTAAGGTACCCATCACATATTCTCCTCCATGTGGACTTAGACCCATTAAGGACCACATGTTGGGTACAATTGTTCAGCCAACTGTGAATCCATCTGGTAATAGGATCATCCATCCCACATTGTTCCAATTTACTGAGAAAGAAGGTATAGTCTACTTTATCAAATGCTTTACTAAAGTCTAACTATACTACATTCATAGTATTCACTTGGTCCAGTAAGCACTAAGAATATTTGAAACTAGCATAGAAAGCAATCAAATCAAAGATAATAATTTTGACAATTTGATACATTATTCAGTTCAATGAGATAAAGGAAAATTCAGTTCAATAAAAGAAGAACAAAAGGTTCAAAGAGCAGCAAAGGAAGAAGACTGGGGCAACCGAATAATCAGTTTCCTCTTCTATGTGACAGTCCTTCAGGTAATTGAAGACTTAATCATCTTAATCATATTTTTCATAGGCTAAATATATCCAGAACCTTTAACCATTCCTCATAGGACTTGATTTTTCCAGATCCTTCACCATCTTGAGAACACTCCTCTGAGTAGTACTAGTAGTAGTAGTACTTTATGATAGTCAATAACCAGAAATCACATTCCTCTGAATTTGTTCCAATTTGTCAACCTGATTTGCCTGTTTAGCAGCTATATTGCACTGCTGGCTCCCATTTAATTTGTAATTACAAGGACACCCCAATCTCTTTAAGAGGTACTAGTGGAAAACCAGGTTTGCCCCATCCCATACCCAGATATAGTTGTTTACATTTATCCCTGTTAAATTCCATTCCATTCATTTCAGCCCAGTACTAAACCCTGGTCTTTTTTAACCTTCTCTCTTTTATCTAAAGTATTAACCATCCTTCCCAATTTTATTTCATCTGCAAACTTTGTAAGTATCCCCTCAAATCCCTCGTCCAAGTCATTGATAAAAATGACTTGGAAACCACAAAGCCAGGACAGAGCCCTGTGGCAGTCCACCCAATACTTTCCTCCAAGCTAGAGTGGGGTCATTAATGAGTACTCTATCTAACTCATGTTTTACCGTGTTAGGAAGAGAAGTATATGTAGGAATCAGTTTGGAAAATATTTCAGTCTAGGGAAACTCTGGAATCTTTTTCTGTAAAAGATTTATCTGTGGTACAGTTTGGATCTACCTGTAGGATGTACAACAAAACTCTGATCAGTACTCTTTACATTCATCTGCTTTTTATCCTTCTTGAACCAGGAAAAAAACATGCAGTTTATTTTTATCATTATTCCTGTCACTTGGGGTAGAAGGAGAAAGTGTCAGAATTCTTGTCAATTTCACTGTAAAAATAAAAACAGCTCTATCCTTCCACTGTTGGATCAATAAAATGCAAGCAGGTCCATCATGTCACTTCCACAAATGAAAAGTCCAGCTTTTCCACCATTCCGCTGGCAAGCTTGTAAAAAAAAAAGAAGGCAGTGGAAGCCAGAGACCAGCAACCAGAAGGAAGAGGTTATACCACACTAGGCACAGTAGTCAACTGGAATAAAGAGATTTGTTTATAGGGAATAGAAGTGCAGCATGCAATCTAGGCAACACAGTTTGAACTATAGGAACAAGAGGGAAAATACTCATGACATAGAGCCAGAAATCACAGGCAGATGTTACAATAGGCTTGGGGGTGGTTGAGGATAATGTCATGTATT